ACGGTTAGACGTATCCTGGATGTTCGGCGTCGTGGTCGGGGTTTTCAATATTTGGTCGACTGGGAGGGCTATGGTCCCGAGGAACGGTCTTGGATTCCTCGTTCCTTTATCTTGGATCCCAGTCTCATCACCTCCTTCTTCAGGGCTCATCCTGAGAAGCGTCTTCGGTCGCCCGGTGGCGATTCGCCACTGTAAATAAATCACTGATCTTTGTCCTCCTGAGTCTGTTATCCTTCAGTCCGTTCATCTGGGTCCTTATTTAATGCTACCTCGTGACAGCACATACCCTGAATTTGGTTGGAGTTAATAGTGTTAACTGCTGTTTTGAGACAGCTGATTTTTTCCAGTTTGTGCAAAACTTATTTAACTTTTGCTCCAAGTCGACAGCAAGGTGGAAGGTGGTAACAGATGGACTGCAGCCTAATGCAAACAAGCGCATTGAAACATTGAAGTCCCTTTCGAACACTAAATGGGCTGCACATGCAGATGCCACACAGGCAGTGGATATTAACTATGCAAACATTCAAAAATCATTGAAGAATATTGTAAATGACACAAACCAAAACGCAGCAATAAGAAATGAAGCAAGATCACTTGATAAAAAAAATGGACAAGCTTGAAATAGCTTTTATGTGTACATTTTGGCATAGCATTTTGCAGCGCTTTGAAAAAGCAAGCGCAGCTTTGCAGTCTGTGGAACTGGACTTGTGTACAGCTGTGGATTTGGTGGGATCCTTGCGGGAGTACATTGGAGGTCTGAGAGATCAATTTGATAGGTTTGAGTCTCAAGCAAAGAAGTTGTCTCCAACAGTTTCACAGGCTTACAGAGTTACTGGTCGAAGATCAAAGACTCCAAAAACATTTTTTGGAGAGAGCGCCACCTCAGAGGTTGACTTATCAGCTCAACAAAAGTTCTCCACCAGTGTTTTTTTGGTGGTTGTTGACAGATTGCTTTCTGAAATCGATAGCAGGTATGTTGCGTATGATAACCTCAACAACACTTTTAGCTTCCTGAACAATTTTTCTGGTGTTACTGTTCCAGAGCTAAGAAACAAAGCATCTCATCTCCAAAGTAAATGTTCATCTGACTTGGAGAAGGACTTTGTGGAGGAAATTGTCCAGTTTAAAGATTTTATTCGTGATAAAGGCATCACATCTGCTCCATTGCTTTTACAATTCATGAGGGAAAAGAAACTGCAGGACATCTTCCCAAATGTGGATATTGCTTTCAGGCTTTACCTGACATTTCCTGTCACAAATGCAAGTGGTGAGCAATTCATTCTCCAAGCTTAAAATAGTTAAAAATAGACTCAGATCCACAATGGGACAGGAAAGACTGAACCATTTGATTCTCATGTCTATTGAGAGTGATCTAGTGAGAAAGTTGGACTTCAGTGATCTTGTCAAGGAATTTGCAGCAAAAAAATCCAGAAAAGTGGGCATTTTTCAAATTTCATATCAGACTAAGGCTTAAATGTCTGATAACCCTTTCACTCATTACTGAAAGGGCTTGGTATTACTGATTAGGGCAGTGATGTCCAAACTTTTTGACACGAGGGCTAAAATTATTATGTTGAAAGAACTTTGGGGCTGTAAAATAATTTGAAAACAAACTTGGTCTTTTTTAAAGTTTATCTGCTAAATTAAAGTAAAAAATTTAAATGATTGTAGATACAAAACAAAGATTTTGCATGTCTGCATTATGAGACAGGCTCAAAGTTTCTAACTTTTCAGGGTTGAGTATTGTTTTCTTATTTGGGTTACATGGTTTGCGTTTGAGTAAATGTAGGTCGTGTTTGTGGTTCTAGTTCCTCCAAATAAGATGAATGCAGAAGTGTCATTAATAAATGGAAATCTGTATTTTGTTCTTCATATTTTTCAAGATGTTCTCTGTAAAAACCTTGGTCTAGAAGATGAAAATTGTTCATTTGCACCCACCTCTACTTTTATTGAGAACAGGGGGCTGTAAAAAAATCATAGAAAATGAAAAAAAAAACTAGAATATGATGCTAGTCTTTCTAGAAAAGAGTTCAGAGTTGTTTGTAGTTTGTGACAACTGGCTTATTAAAGTTGTAAGTTGTGCAAACTTACTGTTAGGTCATTTTCTGCTCATCCTCTAAAACAAAACAAATATATATAAAATATATATAAACACATATAACACATATAAAAAATAATATATATATATATATATAGGGGCCCCATATATTGACTCCAGCCCAGGGGCCCCCATCCTCCTAAATCTGGCCCTGCCTCCCGCCATAAGAACAATTTCTTCCCCTCTGCTGTTGGACTCCTGAACACTCATAATGCTACCTCATAATTTCTGCTTTGGTCACATTACATCTGTATTATAATTGAATACTCCATCTGTAATGTTTTCTAAGCTTTTTTATTGTTTTCTATTGTATGGGTGTACACGTTTTATGTTGTTTTCATTTTTACTTTATTTGTGGGTGTACACAGGTCTTATGTAATGTTTTCATTTTTACTTTATTTTACTTTATTACTATTCGCACCTTATGTCGAAGCAAATTCCTAGTTTGTGAACCTCGTTCATTGACATGGCAATAATAAACTGATTCTGATTCTCCTAAAAGAGCTGAACGTTTTCATTCATGATTTGTTGAAATAACAAAAACTACGGAACGAGAAAGATTCTGGAAAACATATGAAAGAAAAATGGATCACAAGTGTGTGAATGCTTCAGACCTGACCTGTCTCTCCATGCCATCGCTCATTTATTGCAGGTAAGATACTGACTGCTCATAGCATTTCACAGAACCACACCTCAAAATATTCTCCGTTTTGTTTCCTCACAACAAAAGGGTGTTCTTCCCATTTTGTGTAAAATACGTTGACGATATTCCTGCTTCTGTGAGCCATTTGGTCTTTAAAGCTGCAACAATTAATTTTTAAAGAATAATTTAACAAAATCTTTCAAAGAACGACACCATCATTTAGTTTTTGTAATCAAGTTCTAGAAATAACAACACGGCTCTAAACGTGTTAAAATGGAAGAAGCTTATTTTTCTACATTTTGCTTTAGACTTCTGCTGGTGATGAAACAAAACATAAAAAAAAAAAAACTGTAACTCATTGATTTCAGATTTTATTCACTGCTGTGAGCGAGTTCCAGCTGTTCGTATAAAAGAAACGTAACACAAGAACAAAGCCAATAAAACAAGGAGATATGTGTTTGATTATCGGACTGAAAATCCAGTCTCCGTTAAGGCAAAAACAATTTCTATAACTTAAGACAAACAAACTATGGTCACCACTTCCTTCACCGGTACACAATCATAATTTAGAAGCTTTAATAAAAACATTGTTTCTGAGTCAGCTCGGTTCTGGAGCTACAGAAAGTCCAGAACTGAAGTCATGTCTGCATCTCTTCTGCAAGGAAGGCCTGAAGGCAGCCTAACGTGCACGTTTTGGACTGTGGAAGGAAACCGGAGTACCTGGGGAAAACCCACGCAAACATGAGAAGAACATGCAAAGTCCACACAGAAACAGCCTGGGTCCAAGCTGGGAATTGAACCCACGACCTTCTTGCTGTAAGGCAACAGTGCTAGCCACTAATGCACCGTGCTGCCCAAACATTTTCTTAAAACTCTGCAGTCGTTGTTGGAGCTGCACGGCTTGGTCCCTCCATCTGCCTTTTCCCAGCATGCAACTGGTCTGTCTGAGGTTCATGAAAGGCCTCGAGGTTCCAACACAAGGCACAGGCCTGGTTCTACCCTGTCTGGATCAGGGGTAGAATAAAGCACATATGGGGGCCCAGGACCCCACCGCATGTGATTTATTACATAGTTGTCCTTCATTCTTTTATTTTCTTCACTGTTTGGTTTAAACTTCTTCACAGCAAAACTAAAATCTGAAGTGCAGCTTTAAAAAAATGTATTTTGCACATTTAAGATCCCAAAAAGTCACTTTGTCTGACTTTCCCTTCCTCAGTGTCCTTGAGCAGAATCAGTCTGAGCATAGTAAAATGTAAACAACGTTCTGACACACGAACAGAATATTAAAAATAGATTAAATTCAAACTTCTGCTCATAATTTCAGCTTGGTCCAAAAGTCAGGACACGACGTCTCCCAGATGTAGCACGGCTCGTTCCACCAGTAATGATTCAAACAATCAGACACAAGCAGAGAACAAGCTCTGACCTAGATTTAATACTGAAATGGAAAAAAATGAAGAAAAATTAACTTGAATAATATTCTGAATCTGGTGTTAAAAGCTTCTTTTTGACTTCCTTAATTTAAGATGATCGTGTTCTGAAGACAAAAAAAAAAAAGCAACACTGGCCACATAAGTCTGATCATCTAAGTAAAAACATTTAAGTCACGACATTCTTCAGCTGAACACATTGATCTGTTTCTCTGCGTCGGCTGAACGTGTCCTCGTTTGGATCCAGCTGAGAGCTTGTTCACATTTCGGCTGCTAACAACCGAGATAAGAGAGGAATCCTTTGCTGGCTGATGAAAGCCAAGGCCGAGATGTGATAAGGTGCAGAAAAAGCAGAGTTGGAGCAAGACAAAGCCAACATAAAGAAATGCAGTGAAAATATGAAGAACGTCTCTGGAGAATTTCCGTGGGTGGTTATCTCTGTGTGTCGGTGCAAATTCTGCTGTTTGCTGCTCAGCTCCATCCGTCTTTAAGGCACAAAATGTTAAAGGAAATTTTCAGCTACAACAAATCTTGAACAATACAACTCTGAAATGTTCCTTCAGAAACTGAAGGGGCTTCTGGGCAATCTGTAGTGGCTATAGTTGGTCAACAGTCATTATTTCAACTAAACTATTAAAGGCACTTTGGCAAATTCAACATTTGGAGCTTTAAAAATTAAGGAATAAAAAAACCCTCATAAAAATAAATTACTACAAAAGTTTGTTTTAAGAAAAAACACTTTTTCATTATGACCAAACAGAAGGAGTTTCCTTTTCCTCCTCAAACTAGAGTTATTTTTCTTTCAGGAGTTGATTTGGACTCTGGTGGGTTTCTTAAGAGGAATGTTTGCATTGAGTCCAGAGGAAAGTGACTCTTTAATATTTCTGCAGCAGCTGCACTTTAACCGTCTTGACCTCAGCTATATGAGAGGACTTCTGAATGATGCAGCTGGTCGTCCCCGAGGCGCCGTCCTTCCCCTGCGCCATGTTGGTCAAGGCCATGGCGGCGTTCATCTCCTTCCAGTGTGTCTCATCTTTGCCCTTCACCCTCTCCTTCTGCGGAGCTGTGACGCCACCGCCGCCGCTGATGATCGACCCAACGTTCAAACATGCAGAGAAAGAACAAAACAGAGCGTCAGACGTTTAGCTTGAGAGATGTGGTGGAGGCTGCAAGGTCAGAGAAGCTCCACTCACTTGTCACTTTGATTTGATCTCAAATTGTTGGTTTCTGAAAGGACAGGAAGGAGAAAAGGTTCACTGAGAGTTCTGTAGGGTCAGAGGAGATTTAATGAAACCTCACTGAACCTGCACTGTCAGGGTGTGTGTGTGTGCATCACCTCCTGAACAAACACGTTGCTCTGTTTTCTCTCTTTACTAAAGATTCTGAACCAAAAGGACTATGAACAAGAAGCCGTTGAGCAGAAAGGCGACTAATCGTCTCAATTTAAAAGATGTTTCTTATGACTCATAAACTTCGTTCTTTAATATCTGGTTGAAAACAAATGGACCCCGGCCAACAGAACCGAGCTATCTGAAGAAACCCGATCCAATGTGACGGACTTACAGATTGGAGTGAGAATGAAAAAGAAGTGAGTCAGTCAGACAAAGGTGGCTGCCCGCTCACTTTTCGCTTTTCCTCCTCGAATGGGAACAATTTTGACCTCATATGTGAAACATTAGCAAGAAATAACAAAGTGGTTAAACAATGAGACCAAAGCAGGGTGTTGACTTCAGTGCACTGTTTACGGAGTGTGTTGGGGGAGTCAGTGTGTTTAGTGCTGAACCTTTATCACTTCTTGGCCTGCTGCCTTCATACATCTCCTCCTTCATGTCTCTGCGTGAGTGCAGCTACAGCGTGCGCTCTCAGGACATTATTACCTGCAGTGTTCCCTCAGCAGTGTTTCCCCTACCATTATACAAGCGGGGTGCCCCACCCCGTCAATAGAATTTAGCATCCCGCCTACCAAACCAAACTTGCCCCCCCACCTGCCCACCCGGCACTGACATAGCACTAAGCTAGCAGCGAGAAATACAGGTTCTCTAGCTAAAAAGCTAAAAGCAGCACTCATGTTGCCTCTTCCCTCATGCTAAATGTCCCCTGCCCCCACTCAAAAACTGTTAGTACAAGCTGCGCTCAGACAAGTGTCTGTCCCCCCATCAACAAAAATCATGGATGAGATGAGCACCCCGCCATGGCAAGTAAACTAGGGGAAACACTGCTCAGTGCGAACTGAACTAGGTAAAGGGGCCTTCTCTTACTCCGCTCCTGTTTCTTGGAATATTTTGCAAAAAGATCTGAAGCTCTCGACCTTGACCTCTCTAAGTGGCTTTAAGAATCTGTTGGACTCCTGGCAGGGACCACTGCAGACATGTTCCTGTTTTTAGTTTTCTACATTCGCCTTAGAATATAGCTTTTTTTTTTTTTGTTACTTTTCTTTTCTTTTTACTTTTCTTTTTTTTAGCCACCTGTCTGCTTTCCGATAGGCAAAGGTAACCACTGGAGGTAGTGATAAGCAC